TGACTTTATTCTTATAAATGTATGACTTTATTCTCATAACTTTATGACTTTATTCTTATAAATTTATGACTTTATTCTCATAAATTTATGACTTTATTTTCATAAATTTATGACTTTATTCTTATAACTTTGCCCTAATACTCTGTGGTAGAAATGAACCTCTGGATGATGTTATAATTGATTAGGTTCATTAAAGAAAAGCTTTCAGGTAAATTTGATCCCATCAGCAGCATCAGTTCCAGTCCTCAGACGCTAGGGGGAGACTGTTTAACATTTTATCCATCAGATGTTCAGGTTATGAGATGAAGCATAAAGTGCAGACTGGGATGAAGGTTGATGGAGACCAAAGGTCACAGAAAGGCCGCTTTATCAATTCTGGAGCAGGTTGAGACTTTTTAATGACTTTAACTAATTATTAGTTAAGTTATGGAAGTTTGTTTCTTTCTTTTTGTTTTTCATCCCCTGAAATGTTTCAGCAGGAGGTGGAAAAGTTTCCCCAGACCGTGGAGCTTCTACTCGGTCCAGATCTATCCGAACAGCTCTGGGAGGAAAGATCTGTTTCTGCTTAATGTTTCCTGATTCAGGTAGAAACTCTGAGCTCAAACTCTCCAAAGCGCGTCCTGCCAAAACGCGCGCGCCCCCGGTCACCTCAGCGCGACAAAAACGGGATTTATGTGGCAGCCTCGCGATACTCTCCTCCCTCCCAACCCTCTCTCTCTCTCTCTCTCTCTCTCCCCGGTCTGGGGGCGATCAGGCGGCGGGGATGAGGGGAGTGTGGTCGGACAGCCCCAGCAGCCCACGGACGCCCCCGTCACGCACCCAACCCTGCGCTCCAAGTCCAGTCAGAGCGGCTCCTGCTTCCTGGAGGAGAAGCTGAGGAGAGCTGGAAGCTGCTGAGGAGTTTAATCTTTGTTATTTCATCACCTGATGAAGCTGAATGAGGAGGAGGAGGATCCCAGCATCTTGTTTCTGGAGTTAAAGGAGTTTTTCTGCCGGAGCGGCAGGAGTGAAGCAGCCCTGGTGCGCACTTTCCTTCCCCGGGCGGAGTGACGCGCAACAGCCCTGAGGAGACGCTCCTGGTTCCTCCTCCTGTTTGTTTGTTTCTCCTCTGAGTTTGGATTGTTACCCCGCAGATCTCCGGGCGGCGCAGCGCGGAGTTTCTCCGCTCATGGATCCGCCGCTGTGCGCCTCCTCTCCGGCTGAGTGAGCGGCGCGCGGCGCGGCGCGGCGCGGCGCAGCGGGGATGTTCTGACTGGAAGAGATTTAAACCCGCAGCTTTTTCCCCCGCAGGACTTTCACATGTGAGTAAAGATTTATTTATTTCACTGTCTGCTGCTAATAAAGAGGCTGAGATGGCGCGTGTTGAACTCTGACCTTTTGGGTCATCCTGGATTTTCAAGAAAAATCAACTAAAATTGGAAAAAATGTAATTTATTTTCTATTTTATTTTCGTTTTTTAATAGAAGTAATTATTGAAAGCTTTTCCGTCTTGATGGATCAAACCTTTACGCGCAGAAAAGCTAAATGTTTTGGTTGAACTCAGCTGACCAGAACCAGGACGCGGATCCATCCAGGCGCGCGGTCTCCTGCGCAGCTCCGAACCTCTCCTGAGACTCTGTTCCTATGCGACCGAGCCGAGCCGAGCCGTGCCAATCCCCCCCACCCCTGATCTTTCCGTTAATTAAGCCGCAGTGTT